CTATTTGTTATTAATCTTAAGTATATGTATACGAAATAATATTTTCAACTCATTTTTAATATTTAGCAATTTTCTTGGAGAAAAATAACATTCATTACATTCAAGCTTTCGAGTTTATATTCGATATTTTATATTATATTCGAAACTCAGAAATCATATTCGAAAATCAAAGTTATATTCAAACATTTACTCGATATTTCAAAGTTATAATCAAACGTTCGTATCAATATTTCATATATTTCGTAGTTATACTCTAACAGGGTTCATAGTTCAAAAGTAATAAAGAATTCCCTGACTTTTCCAGGTTTTCCCTGACTTATAAAAAAAAATCCAGGTCACTTGTAGTTCATTTTTACATACTAATTGGTGTTTATGCATTAAATTTTTTTTCGACTGGACTCGCATAATCTTTTTTATACCCTAACAACCTCTTATAAAGGTTTCAAAACCACAAATAGTTTTCTCTTTCAAGAACCCAGGGCCGGCTTTCACAAAATTTCCAGTTGCAAACATCAAATTCCCTGACTTTCATGAATATTTTTAAAATTCCCTGACTATTCCCTGTTTTTTATGAAGAATAACAAATTCCCTGACTTTTCCCGGTATTCCCGGCCACTACGAACCCTGCTCTAATTTTCGAGAATATTTATATTAGACATTCTCAGATCACATTTGAAACTCCGTTCGATTGTGATATTCGAAATTGTGAGTTTATATGTGATTTTTCAAAGTTGTATTTGAATTCTAGAATTCATTTTTATTTTTAAGATCACATCCCAATTCAACATTATATTCGAAATTTCGAATTTTCGATTATCGTCATCATTGACAATAATGACTGAAATGGAACCTTTTAACTGGTCAAGATCAATGACCCAATGTCAAAAGTCAATGAGCGGGGCAAAGATTAATGTTCTTCGACATAAAAAAATATAAGGAGTTCTAAAATCGATTCGAGAAGTTTTTATGAATCTTCTGATGTCTAGTAATACGTCTCGAAATTATTACGTATTGCAAGATAGATCTGAGATATTTTGTTTTATTTTTAAATATCTTTTAGAGTTTATATTCGATATTTTGTATTCGAAACTCAGATCATATTCGAAAATCAAAGTTATATTCAAACATATACTTGATATTTCAAAGTTATACTCGAACTTCCATATATTTCACAGTTATACTCTAATTTTCGAGATTCGACAATCTCAGATCAGATTCGATTGTGATATTTCAGTTATATTCAAAATTATGAGTTCATATGTAATTTTTCAAAGTTACATTCGAATTCTAGAATTCATTTTAATTCCCAGATCACATCCGAAATGTTGAACTCGTTTTGATATTTTAAAGTTATGTTCAATCATTTACGTTCGAATTCGAAGATCAACATTACATTCGAAATTTACAATTTTCGATTATCGTTATCATTGACAGTAATGACTGAAATGGAACCTTTTAACTAAAAATCAGTAGAAAGTGCAAGTTGCGATTTGTTTTAAGTTTGAATTCGAAAATTAGGATCTGATTTAAGAATTCGAGCCTAATNTTTATATTATATTCGAAACTCAGAAATCATATTCGAAAATCAAAGTTATATTCAAACATATACTCGATATTTCAAAGTTATACTCGAACTTCCATATATTTCACAGTTATACTCTAATTTTCGAGATTCGACAATCTCAGATCAGATTTGATTGTGATATTTCAAAGTTATATTCAAAATTATGAGTTCATATGTAATTTTTCAGTTATATTCGAATTCTACAATTCATTTTCATTTTTAAGATCACGTCCGAAATGTCGAAACTTATTTCGATATTTTAAAGTTCAACATTTAAGTTCGAATTCGATGGATCAACATTGTATTCGAAATTTCGAATTTTCGATTATCGTTATCATTGTCAATAATGCCAGAAATGGGACCTTTTAACTAAAAATCAGTAGAAAGTGCAAGTTGCGATTTGTTTTAAGTTTGAATTCGAAAATTAGGATCTGATTTAAGAATTCGAGCCTAATTTCAAAATTTTAGGTTTAAACTCGAAATTTTCGGTTTTATAAACGAAATCTTGTTATGACTTTTTACGCTTATTATTTTCTGTACAAATTAACATATTTAAAACAAAAAAGGTAATATATTGAAACCATGTAAAGTGATTCAACTCCTTTTGTATCTATCCTATTGAAACCGCTAATCTCGTTCCAAACTAAAACATTGCAAAAGGGCAAAAAAGCAACAACTTGGCACCGCGCCGACTGGCGAACCTACTCTTATTTATTATTTTTAATGGGTCGGCCGACCCCGGTAAAAAAAAATGGAAAAAAGCGGCTCCAATTCATAAGTCACGAGATGCGTGGCGGAAGGGCAAAAAAACTGACAATTTTTTATCTGGCGACCACTTAAGTCGCTATAAATTTCACCATGCCATAAAAAAATCGTCGATACATGGCACGCAGCCACGGCCAGTCAACTTTTTTAAAATGAACTTCTACTTTTTACCTGGCAGTCGAGGGGATAAAAAAAGGCCCGCACTCTCTACCTGATGTTACCTAATAATTGAGACGGTATTCAATAAAACGTCCAATCACAGCCTGTCGCCGTCTTCGTCTTCGGCGTGGAAACTATACGGGATCGAAACAGCGACGGAATCATAATCTGTACCAAATGAGATTCCCAAGAAGTGATTGAAGACGGTGGTGTGTGGAGGAAGTGAACTGTGGACATTTCTCGGGGCCCCCGCCCAGACCCGAATCAAAACATTCGGGTGGAATTTTATTTACGGCCTTTGCCGTGGTCCAGGAGGGTCTCAAAGGGTGCTTTTCGATAGGACGGTAAAGGTCAAGGAAAGAAATGTGATGTAATGATGGACGAAAGCAGATTTCTTGGCTCTGACCTGACAGTACCGTCAGATCATCTGACAACGTAGATGGTAGTGTGTAAATGTAGTAAATGAGTAATAAAAAGTAACATAGTACATAATGTCGTGTAGAAAAACGATGAAACATTTATAAATATATGAAAAACTTGTTTACCGTCAGATCACAAAAATGTTAATGTGTGGTAAGTAGGCACTGACAGGTTTCCGTAGTCTTTGATGACAGTGTCAGACCATATAAAACAGGTAGAAACTTGTAAAAAGATTTTTGTAACCTCAGTTTTTGAAAATAGTGTCAGATCACATGTGAGAAAAACTGTAAAGTAAAATGATATATTAAAACCCTTAGCTCTAGAATTTTGATTTGGTAAAGAATGTAGGAACAAGTAGCATTACAACCTTTATTTTTTTAACAAGTGTCAGATCATTTAAAAATACAATAAACGTGTATATCACTAGTAAATTTTTGCACCTTTATGTCCTTAAAGAGAAGTCCATAAATAGTGCTTTTTGTTAGTACAAAAGGGTCAAGGAAAGAAATATGTTAAATGGATTGAACACGAAAATGTATAAAATCGACCTTAATATTGAGAGTAATGTCAGATCATCGCACAACGTAGATAGTACCAAAATAAAATAATAAGATTTTACAAAGTCATTTATTAAAAATAATAATAATGCGCAAATATTATTGTTAAATTAAGTACAATTCCAGATTTTATACAATGTTCTGATGTCAAATTATCACCTTTACTTTTTTGTGCACGTGTCAAATCATATTAAAAAAATAACAAACCTGTTCAATAAATTTTATCCCTTTTATGTCCTTGTGATGCTGTAAGAGTCCTTAAATTTTACTTTTTATAGGGACTGAAGAAAACATCGAGCTGGCAGATTTCACAGCCCAAGTATAGACAGTACTGTCATCTTACAACTTTGACGTAAAGCTAAAATAAGTACTAAAATGACATATTTCGTGATATCTGCTTCAATTTGGTCACTGTGATAATATAAATATATTACCAAATCAACTAAAGTTGCATACTCCATATAATTCGACAAGTGTCAGATCGCAAATATAATAATGTGTGGTAAGGTGGGTAATTGACCTACTTCCTTAGTTTTTGATAAGCCTGATCTGACAATGTCATAAAAATCGATAGGTAAAATTGAATATTTATATTGCAAAGTTAGTTTTTGATATTAGTGTCAGATCATCCGTCAAACTAGGTGGTAATAAGTAATATTATCAATGAAACACTGTGTTTTCTGTCGCTATATCCTTAGTTTTGACAGTACAGTTAGGCAATGACGCATAAATTAGTGTAAATATAGTTTCTTATATGGGTGAGATATAACTTACAAAATATGTCAAGATCTTAATTGTCGGTGTTATTTAATACCTACTAACACAAAGCATTGATTTGTATGTACTGGTAGAGATCAACTTAGTAATCCGTAGGTATCGTGACAACTACTCTGCGGACTACAACTCTGTCCGGGTTACACCCGTAATATTCTAGAAAATAAGATTATTCATCAACAGAATCACCATTAAATGACTGACATTTTTTGGTTTACGAAGAGTATATGTATATTGTCTGTATTACATGTCAGTCAATTTGAGTTTTGTGAAAGAAAACAAAGATTTTTTGGAAACTTTGTCATGTGTGGTCGAGATTATTTCTCAGTGTTTCTGGTTATGCAAAACTAAATATATATAATCAGCCCCTTGACAGATTTTGTAGAGCAGAAGGGGTTAATTATTTATAAAAAATATATTTTCGATATGACAGAATACACAATTAAATAAAAACAGTAATAAAAAATTGCCACAAATAAATAATTATGGACATTATCTAGTTTTCTTAGGTATATTAAAATGTCATTCAACAATATTTTCTTTATTTCTGTATTTTCACGATTTTTTCCTCTGTAGACATGAAAAACGTGAAATGGGAATTTTCCGTGCGTTCGAGCAATCCATGTGTGTGTGTGTGTGTATCTCCCGGCGTCCGATCAATCTGGTAACCTTTCCCTCGGCGCGTAGGTCGAGGACCAGCCCCTTCTTAAAAACGAAAGTGCCGAGAGATCGGAATCTGGCCTCTATTCATTAAAGTGTACCTCGACGGCGGTGCGGCGATTGGTTTTCAAGGTCGCGTCGGGATCACCCCATTTTCCGTCCTCTTCCAGCCCCCGACGCGGCCTCCCGCGACGGAGACTGGCGATGTTTCTCATGGCCCTCTGCGACTGCCGCTGCTGGCCGGGCGCTACCTCCGATCTCTCGGATGCCATAACTCAGCCCCTCCGCGGGGGTCGCTCCGCAGACGTCTGTATTTACTATTTTACAAGGGATTACGCCACCCCATTGTGCGTCGGCTCTTCATTCACAAGTAGTTTTACGGGTTTTTAATTAACGGCGTCTTTGTGCGGGAAACGTCTTTCTGCGCTAGCTTCGCGATTATCGAGGATTTTTTCCAATCTGCCAGCTGCCGGGGCAATCTACGTTAAAAAGGGGCGCCGATAATCATTATTCTAATTTCTATTAAAATTATTTAAAGGTGTCCATACAAGACGTTGACGTGAAACGTGGGAGGTCGACTTTACACATTTACAACATATTCGACATATTTTTTTGTTCCTTGACTTCCTTCATCCCATCAAACAAAAGACATTTGAAGACTTCTTAGGCACAAAGGGAACAATTTTTGTCATAGATTTACGCATTTATTATTTTCTTCGCAAGCACGAACTGACACTTGTATGAAAAATAAAAATACTCTTTTTCACGTGAAATAACATGATCAGAAAAACAAAAGCTTTTCATGTTTTTGAGGTTTCATGTTAGTTTAGTGTCACCTTTTTACATAAATGATCTGACACTATTATATAAAATAGTAATTTCACAATGTTTCTCCATTTTTATACAGGGTGTAAGAAGTTTGACTACCATTACTTCAGCATGAGATAGAGTAATCATAAATGAATAAAAAAGTTATATGTTACAGGGGCGTAATACTAACAGTTTTCAAATTACAGCGAGTATTAATATTGGGGATTTTTATCACAACGTGACAACAGCGCTTAACCTGCTGATGCACACCACGTGCGCACTTGTCCTACGGAAAAAATGTAAACAACTATTATTGTGAAACATTTAGTAAATTTCAAGGCAATTGATTTCCAGTTTTTAAATAAATAAAATAAAACGATTTTGTAGTTCGAGGATAGTGTTGTGCTTAAATTTTAGTAATTATGAATCTCTTAAAAGAGTTAACTTTTAATCAAATTATGTATTTGAAAAATATGTAGTTAAAGTACCCAAAGATTCACGTCACCCTAAAAGCAAAATTCAGTAAGCATGAGTACAAAACAAACTACAACATATGCTTATAATGTCCACCACCATTATCGGTGCACGCACGACACGTTCGAATCCAATTTTCGCACACTCGCTCGAAAACACCTCAAGAAAAGAAAATAGTGGTACGCAAGAAAAACACTCCGACACGGTCGAATCCCGATACCAACTGAATTGCGTTTTGGTGGTTGCTGAACCTCGTGTTAATAAACCGTCGCGCCGTTGTCACATTGCCCGATATGAGTTTTATCGAATTTTAAATTTGTTACAACGCTAATTATTTTTTAGAATCAAGCATAGAGAAGTTAAAAAAAGTGATAAACATTGTATTTTATGCACGCAGTTATGTCGGGATTCCTTAATTAATAGAACTTTTGTACATCAAGATTAAGATTTTGATAATCTTTTTCTCGCAAATGGTTGAGTTTAGGACCCATGTCATATAAGGTTTTTTTGTATTCTACCGTCTGTTAAAATTAAGGCAATCAAACTTCTAATACCCTGTATAATCTGAATTAATGTTAATAGCTGATGTAGTAGTATAATTTTATTAAGCATTTTTTTGGCAGAATGTCATCAGATCTATCATCGAAATCTGTCACATGAATAACTTACCACACTTTAACACGTTTGTGATCTTTGACACTTTTAGAACTGATTCAATAAAATTTTGTATTTCGGCAAAATTTTTCACATATTTATGTGATCAGTCATCTTTTTTGTGATGACCATCACTAATGCAATCATAAAACATGTTTTAACTAATAGTTCTCGTCAGCATGGTATACCATGTTTCTTTTCGGTGTGGTAGAAAAAGCAATTAAACAAAAACAGTCGAAAAGTTGGTTTTCGTCGTTCTGTTTTCTGAAGAAGAAATAACAAAGAACATTTTTGTTTTGTACCACTTATTTGGAAAACTGTGTTTACCGGGCGCTACAAAAATATGTTTGTGGAACGTTCCTTGAAGTCGAGACAAAAAAAAGTTAAAACATCATCTGAAGACGGTTCAATTTTGATTTACTTACTTTTTATAATAAAAAGAAACTGTATTTTGATATTTTCAAACTGAGAGTTCTTAAGAAATCGACGGATTCTGTTTCAAACATGTTTAAAGTCGACCATTGACGGTATGCTCTCAAAACGTGTACGGACAGCTTTAAATGAATTACTGACTGGCAACTATAATTTTTAAGTTGGTGTGAATTCCTAATGTTTCTTCCGTTGTGTAAATTGACTAAATTCTTAAGGCATACAGAAATGTTAAAAGTTTAGGGACCAATTTCCGAAAATACAGTTTTTCAAAAATTAACACCTAAAAAATTGTAGTTTGGCGTAGCATTTGAAATTTTAAGTTATAATTTCTAAATACGTACGTTTAGGGTCTATTTAATAGGAAATATTTGAATTTTATTTGTTTTCTTGTTTAAAATGGTCTACATTTTCTGAGGATAGTAAGCATTTACTCCTCTGTCACCTTTATCTCCAAATTTGTAGCGACTGACGTTGACAGAAAGGAATGGGTTCCCACAGGTATTTATATACGATAATTTTACAGATTTCTATCTTGTAGAAGAACCTCAGAAATAAATTTTGTGGAGCTGACAATTAATTTGCTATTCGTAGATCTTTTGAGAAATCCAGCGGCCATAAACAACTTTGGATGATAAAATACTGGGTGCTCAGAAAAAAGGTAAAATTAAGGATTTTATCAATTTCCTTAATTACTCATACAGTGTTTTCCTCGCAATGAAGAAAAAATATGGTGGTGCTACACCTTTTCCTGATGTATTTTAGAAAAGTGTCATCTGTATTTAATAATAGTCAGTTTTAATATTTAGAGCATGTAATGTGTATATTGGATTAGAAATATCATCTCGGTAAGATTAGGTACCCCTTGTGCAAAACCGTACTTATCGTATCAACTTCGACGTCACCTGTTACATGGGTGTTGTATAATAATGAAAACGTAATATTGACAGTTGGTAGAAGGAAGCACAAAAACAAGCGCTTAGGTGGGGAATTCTGGAAGGAAGCTAGCCTAAATAGTTGAAGTGAGAACAGTGTGGAGATGGGGAGTAAGATGATCAGTGGGCAGTGAGGCAAAATAGTGAAAAATTAAAGTGTTTAACCCGTATTAATTAGCGGGTAATATTCTCTAACTACTTTGTTGTTAACTGTTCTATGTAATCTTATGATTGTGATGGTTATAGATGTTTAATGATAATAATTCTTTATATGTTTGGCCTCCATTCCTTTATGTTCAAGGCCATATATTTTTCTAAGGTAAAACTGTTACAATTATTATTAGCGATTGCTAATCATTTATTACCTGTTAAAATATGTATATATTGTCGTAACTGCCCAGATATTGCAATAACAGCTCCTTTGTTTCACATTTAACTTATTTTATCATTATTACGTTGTTCGAAAAACAAATAATAACGCACTTCTCACTGTATGTCATACGCATATACAAGCCTTGTTGAATTTACTAACATTTTCGCCCGTGAGGAAGGAATTTGTAAAAAGAATTAAATATAAAAAAAGAATTGCTAAAACAGATCTTCCGAAATGTCAACTCATAGCTGGATTGCCTCCCGTACGGGACTCCAGTACCTTCCGGCCCTGCCGGCTAATTAACACCAAACCTCTTCAGTTTTACTTGGAAGTGTGTATGTCTAATTCGAGTGAGGTGACATTTAGTGACACATTAAATAAGTCAGGTCTTATTTATCATTAGCAAAGGATCCTAATTTATGCCTTTTGTTAGTGGTTGTTTTGTATTTATATTTGGGTAGTTAGAGCAACGATCGTGGGTTTCTCTGCCATGCTCTTTCCCCACAGGAGCTCTAGGTAAGCGTGGCACTCTCATTTTATGTTAAATGGTTGTTAATGTTTTTGTTGTTCTTTCTATTTGTCACATGTTTAATGTGAAGACTGTTGTACAAAAATAATAAAGTTAGGTGTATTTACTCTGCTTTTGTTTTATAAAATTAAACCATATTTCTCCTCTTTAAAGTTACTAGCCAGCGCCTTCCGGTCAATTAAAAAATAGATACATACAACGTAGGTATTTCTTATAACGATCACATATTTTTGGCCACAACTACGTTTATATTTTTTTTGTCGATCGAACCCGGGGTTGTTATACTACACCCTTAAGATCTGTAATGCCATTGAAATTACTTTTTCTAATTTGTCACATTTTTTGACAATAAATTTTATTAAGAGTTCTCCGATATCTTCTTTCGTTCAAAATATGTATAGAGAAATATATATTCATGTATGTTACTGATTTTATCAGCAATGCAGTGGAAAACAAGATCCTTTCAATATTTATAAATCCATTATTGCCATTTATTTCTATGAAGCCGTACTGCCTTTCTACCCAAAAATCATAAAGGTAAATCATATTTTTATTTTTTTAATTTAATAAACATAGTTTTACACAAAATAAAACACATTGTCGGAATTTATCTATGTGTGTCATAGTTTTCGTTCTATCCCTTTATTTTGCCACTTGTGAGACAATTAAAAAGTAAGTCGTAGTCGAAAATTTCGAAGAAAGTAAGAAAATAAAATTTCAAATATGTATCTCCAAGTAAATTATAAATTATCGACACACCACACTTATAATCCCAGAGTAGAACATTCCCGGTGTTGAAAACATCTTTCAGCCGCCCCTCAGCCGCCGCTGATTAGCCAATCAAGAATCCTAATCGACAAACGAGTACCACTCCGAGCATCTGTTGTTTTTTCTCAAAGCCGCCCTAAAAAATGACCAATAAAAAAAACTATCCCTTTCGTCGGACGACCGCGCTTTATCCCCCGAAAAATCTGGGCCAAGCAACCACCTGTATTTACCTGACTCGATATGTAAATAATTTTCACTTTCCATCCACTCCATCGATGAGGGACCGCCGAAGCGCACCCC